TTTGGTAAAGCACCTTAAGACCCTTCCATCTATGAAGAGTATTTGATTCTACCATATCTGGGTCTTGAGAAGAAGATGTTTGAAATTTCAGTCAATTCAACCCTTTTTGGCCCCACCCATCAGCCCCGGGGGGTCAGTCAGGGCTAATATGTGCATACCATCAAACTGCTATCCAATACTGATAATGCTAACTCAAATTGAATTACTTCCAATGGCAATTAAACAAATGTTAGTCTAAAATGTGATTTCCCTATGTAAACTATAGTAAAGTTAACCCCCACCCCAGGGGGAAACGTGAGACCCCAGGGTCATCAAATTCACAAATTTGGTAAAGCACCTTAAGACCCTTCCATCTATGAAGAGTATTTGATTCTACCATATCTGGGGCTTGAGAAGAAGATTTTTGAAATTTCAGTCAATTCAACCCTTTTTGGCCCCGCCCCTCAGGCCCCTGGGGGCTGGGGACCATATAATTCACAATTTTAGTTGACCTTTGGCCATGGAAGGTTTCTGCAAAATTTCATTGAAATTGGTTTAGGGGTTTTGGAGAAGACGAAAATGTAAATTGTTTACGGACGCACGACGGACAAAAGGCGATCGCAATAGGTCACTTGAGACTTTGTCTCAGGTGACCTAAAAATGCAATATTTGAGATATTTTCATAAGAATAGAAATTCTCTCTGGAAATGAATGCCCCTATGCTCCCTAGGAAGTTGTGTTATTGTTTGACTATATGAATAGCTACACATGTGTATGTATCAAATTTCATCAAAATCAGTTAAGAACGAAAACTGTTAGTGATGCCAACCTTAAGCTTAGAACTATTCTCATATTTGACTCTTCAGAGTTAGACCAAAATCTGTTAAAGAAATGAAGACTCCAGGGTAATGACACTGAATTGTTGTCAGGGAATTTCAGACATTTTTTGTTAGAATTCAGCAAGTTTACGGGTTTAAGTACTTTTATATAACAACAGGTTTAACAATTTGTGGGTTTTTTTCTTTCTCAGAACGCTACCCTTTTCAGGTCATGTTTTACAACAGAACTCACTAATCTACAAACAATACAAAAAATCAAAAGGCTACACTAAGCATCAAAGCCATGCTCCCTTCCCTCCAACTTCATCTGAGAGATCAACCAACATGTTCTGCAAGAGCAATCCCGCAATTAGTTGTATGGGGACCGGAGGATTGAAGGGCAGTTTTATCAGAACTATGTCTACAGACCCAACTGGATTGGAAGTAAAGAATACAGCAATTCATTCCGATATTGCTTCATTTTCAAATATTTAATGGGTGAAGGGATCTCTGGCAGTTTCTTCTAAATATAAGCCCTCCACACACAAATAATTTTTGGAATATGCCCTTGAAGGAAAACGACATACTTCTGATGTTACAAGGTCCCACTGCACATAAAAGAAGTTGCATTTTTTTCAAAGTAATGTCACCGATTGTTTTTTGTCCACTCCTTAATGCGATAATATTAGATCAAAGACGTTTAAACTTTACAAAAATTTGTTTCAATACATTTTGTTCTGCATGCATGGAAAAAATGAAATTTAAGGTGAATCAATATTCACAATGTATCTATATTTGAAATAAAATTTTATCTCATGCAAAACCCTAATACTCACATCATCATCATTCTCTAATGCTTCCCCTGTGAAATATAACACAGCCCGTGGCACGATTCTGTCCCGTATAAAGTGACCAATCTCAAAGTCTGCTGCTAACAGGGCCTCCAGATCTTCATCCTGAAAGAGTTTCCATATTTAATTTATATTTAGGTTAAATACTTTTCTGGATTTTTTTTATAACAATCTATTAAGAAAATTTATCATTTAATAGATCATATATGCATTTCTATCCTAACTGTATTTTCCAAATCCCTTATCAAAGAAAAATAAAATCTTTTTTAATATTCCACTCATTTTGTAGATATCACATAAAAACATTCACTACATATCATCAGCACTGCATGGTGAGCTGAATGTAGCTACCACCTTCAAGGCGACAACATGTCACATAGAAAATACAAGGAAGGAAAATCCATTTTGTTCCTTGTCAAATGAAGGATCATTTGTCTACACCTAGCATACTTGTTTGTAAAAGCTTCACCGACGCTACAAAATTACCAAGGGCCTGTTCATTTATGCGGAACAACTGGCAGACATGCAAATCTTTATGCAGGCTTTGCAAGGTCGCCTAGCAACAGATTAGAAGGTGCAACCTTATTTCTTAAACAAACTATGGTCCAATCGTTTGGATCACCATTAAAGAAAGTGGCCCTAGTGTATAGATATCAACATGCCATAGATAAATAATTGATAGGATATTTACGTGGCGTTATAAATAATGCTTGCACGAGTTTCAAGATGGCATACATCACCGGGCTTTTTTGGGGGCCGAAATTCAGGCCTATTCCTTAAAATATTTATCCTTTCTGTTCAAACCTTTTATTTTAAGTGATTTAAATGATCATGTGACTAGTGCTACCTGTCCAATTGTTCTCTATTTTACTTAACTGTTGCAGATCTAGTTTGGCCCACTCGGTGTTCCCCTATAAACTCAGAACAGAACCATTCCTAGAACAAGACTGCTTGCAGAGTAATATTATCTTTAGTATGAACAAAAAGAACAATAATTGTTATGTTAACACTGACCATATCTTCTTCCTCTCCTTCTGGTACTGAAACAGAAAATATTATACAATGTAAAAGTCTCATTGGTATTGATAATTGTAAGCTTTAATTATGGCATTAACTTTTATTATTTCCTTATTTGGTCCCTTTATAAGATACAAGATGTGTATTATTGATATAAGCATTATCAACTTTCTGCTGAAAACTGAAATGCAGGACTTATGATTGGATTTTTCATATCTAAAACAACTTAAAATTGTAATTGTTTAAAACTCAACTTGTATTTTAATAACAAGCTTGTAATATAACTTATTAATTTTTTAAACCTTATAACCCGCATGACAACCTTTACCCCTGTAATGGTGAACAAGACATCTCCAAAACATAGAAAGCCAAATAGGCTATGTCCATAGTGTTCTTAGTTCTACTAAATACAGAAAAGGGTTTCCCTCATGATCATAATACAAACCTGTTGGAGGTGAAAAGAAGTTGAAGAATGAATCGTTCTGTACTGTTTTTGTGACTGTCCGTGTTGTACCACGTCCTTTGTGCTTTTGTTTCTTTTTTATGGTTTTCACCGTTACATTTTTGCCTTTTTTCCAATCTATTTGACATCTGAAATAAAAAGAAGACCCATGCTAGTGAAATCAAAGGAACTGAATATTTCATATCTTAGTAGTCCTGGCAGTGTCTTTCCCATGTTTTTCGCAAACCTTTTTGGGTACTGAAAAGATGCAAATTTCCACAGACCATCAGGATTATTCCATTTAAAAATATACCCAAACCAAAGATGTCAAAATAAAACTGCTATGTTTCAGGCCATATGTACATAAATTTATCTAAATTTGAACCATGTACTATAAATTAATATTGAAATTCAATATAAACTTGTGTCAAAGTTCCAGTCTTGGTGAAAGAATACCGATAAAGGGGAGACAAGTCTTACAAGACTCTTGATGCCCAGGGTCGTAGGAGAGGAATATTCTACCAGAGGGATTTTCAAATTTGGTAAAACCTGAGGCTTTGACAAGGGTTTTGCTGAATTCAAAAATCGAGATGGTGGAATTTCTCTTTCCTACACCTGCAGACATCAAAGAGTATTTATCTCTCATTCTAACTACCAGAATAAGCTCATCAGGAACCATGAAAATGCATTTGGACTTCCACCATTTCGAAAATATCAACTTTTATCCTGAACATTTTTGACGAAAAACAAATCTGTCTACAAGATTTAACATACCCCATATTTCCATTGCACAGAAAAATCTTTCCAACTTGTACAGTCACTCCAAAATGGAAGAAATGCACTAACAGTATTCAATTACTTGCTGAGCAAACAATCTCGTACAAAATATTATTTTACCAAAAATTACAAACTTCCCATTTTTAAACACCAATAGTAATTTAGTTTTCCTCATGAGTGTATGAAGGTACTATTCCAGATCAAGCGTAGCAATAATATCGTTTTTTTTATGCACTATGAAATTTTAAACAAATTTACTTACCCTTCACATTTCACAATTTCGGGGCCCTCAAAAGAGAATGGGTCCGATTCATCTGGCTCTGATTTCATTGTATAGTTTTTAGTTAAAACAGTGTTTGAGAAAAAGTCATTTGTTTCGAAAATAAATTCCAGAATAAAGCCCTGCAAGAAGAAAAAGAGAACACATCATCATTGATAGTTGGAACACTCATGGCGAAATTCAGCAATTGCCAAATGCCCCACTTTAGACAGGTTTCATCACATGATGTAGGCAATTTAATTCAGAGCAAGTTCCGGACAATTTTGACAAGAGTGCACATTTAAATGTCTATTTATATAAAATATGATTCAAAATAGATAAAATATTAAACACAATTTAACAAGACAGAGCAATTAATCAAAATATATATTTAGGAATTTTAACACTTTATGTATAATTAAATATGAAACTTGTTGAAGATGAAACTGATATTCTTATGCGAATAGGACCTTGGGCCTTTCAACTTCGGAAATGGAAATGCAAAATTCTTTATTTTCAAAACACAATGAGCACCCCTGTTTAACAAGAAAATGTAATTGATTTTTCACAGGTATAATGGTTCAAAACAAAACCTATACAAGACTGGGAATTTCCATACATACAATCGAGAAATTTTGAAATCATGCTACTTTTCAGAGTGATAATGCTGATCAAATATCACAAAATTGTTTTTCTTATAAATCCCTGCTAATAACATGAACCATTTCCAAATTTCGATTTGGATATCTTTTTATGTTACTCACCATACTTGATTCTACTTCAGAAAATTTAACCTTTACATCCTGTAGACAGTTGAGTATAGGCTCATCATGATCCTGTTGAAAATGAAATAAAAACCGTTACCTTGATATTTGTAATGTGACCGAAACATGATTATTTCAGTGGTACAGGACAAGAATATCCCAGATCTAATGGGCCACAACAAGTAGATATGATCTGCCAGCAAGTGAAGAACTGTCCAATGCCAGACAGATAAGTGCAAAAGGTAATATCTTGAATACTGCAATTTATCAGAGTAAATCTGATGATGGCCCATTTAATGGGCCGAAATATGTGAACTAGGTTAAAGGGTCCGAGACTCAAAATAAGACATTGTCTAGTCATCTCTTCATTTGCATTTCGATCACTCTTATGGCCAGATCATTCTCCCTTGAAACCTTAATTAACTTAGGCAAAAAAAAAAAGATTTCTTGGTTCTCAGGCCCGCGTGCATTTCATTTTAGGGCACTGCATTGCTGATTTTATCGTGAAATTAATAAATAAAAAAATCGTGAATGCCCCAGCCGCCGTCTTTAAAAATATCAGGAGAATTGATCCACATGTTGTTTTCACTCGTTAAGTCACCCTAGTCTCGAAAACGTTTGAATGAAGAGAAGGATTGAGATACAGGCAAACGTTAAAATGTTTGCGATTCTCGTCTGGAACATCGTGGGGGGATTTTCGGAGGCTTGCTGTATGATGGGTCTCTACACAACTATAAAAAGACAAGGTAATGCCCACAATGAACTATTTACAAACAACACAATAAAAAAAAACAAAAAAAAACTCGTCTTGTTTTTGCCACGTAAAATGAAGTTTTTATTTACCACCCTGCCGCACCTCTTATGAAAAAATTTGGCCTGAGAACCAATTAATTTTATTTGGCCTTAGATTATAATATGAAATTCTATTTTTTTTCCACACATAAACCACGGATAACAATTTGTGAACCGCTTTGAGACAAAATACGAACTAGGATGTGATGAAGCGGTTTATAAGAACCTCACATTATCATTATTATATTCAACATACATTACACACAGTTGAAAAGTAACAAATGTTGCATGATGTTTTCCTCTAATTGTAAGCTAGAATTTCTCCACTATTCAGCTATTTAAAATCAAAAGTTGGCAAACAAGATTGTGTACATATGTTTCAATCATTATATTTATGTTAACTGGGTAACCTATTATCTCCCCTTGCACTGAGCTACACCAATATTCTAAAAGGTTCAGATTTGGTAACATCCTTTTCATCCAAGAGATTGCTTTAAATTTAAAATCATTCATTAAAACTTGACAACTTAATAAGATTATATTCTTTGGCAACTTGGTAAGTTTATATTCTCAAAATAAATCTGTCTGAAAGGTTTTACATGCCACTATCAAAAACTCTTTAAAATTCAGAAAAAAGAAATCCTGCTTAAACAATGATTTTCAATGCCACGTGTGTAAAATTGAATTCTATCTCTGATTCTAATGTCAGAAACAAAGCACATGATGTATGAGTTAATTTTTAGAAAACAACATAATCTTATAATTAACTTGTTGGTTATAGCTACTTCCAGCAGTGAGCTAAAGGAAAGTAGTTTGCATTGCAACAATTACCGCAGGCAGAGAGTAAAGAAACGAAACTAAGGATTAACAACCATTTACTGCAATGATAAACCAAGAACCTACCTGTATCATTTCAGAAAGCATCTCTACATTTTTGAACACTGTTAACCAGAAACCAGGGATTCCTTTGACGTCGGCACCTTCATCTGCAAATTACAAGTTCACATTAATATATTTGTTTTTGAAGGATTTTGAGGCTATTCCATATAATAATTTAGAGAAGGAAGCAGCAAGAACTTATTTTTCACCACATCTCCCATGATTCACTCAAAGCTCACTGAAACAAACCTAGATTTTGGTTACTGAGGTCAAAGTCAAAGATCAAACGGAGATCGTGGTTTTCCATATTTGTAATACAATTGTTTCTTCTTAGCTTCCTGCTTAAGCTTGTTCCAGAAATAACTGTGTGGGAGCACTTATCATAGACCCCACCAACCATCAAATATTGAAAGAAATTCAATATCAGGAATGGTAGGCAGGTCTGGTTTTACACCCACCACCCATAATATATTAACTCATTCACCCCTGAAGACACATTTGAACTCTTCCAATTCAATGGTTGGACTAGTTCATAATAAAGTTTCAGGGGTGAATGAGTTAATACAGGTGTCTACCAGCTTCCCCATACAATTAGTTATTATAGAATAGCCCTTAGGGAATAATGAAGAAACAAAAATTAATCTGCTGCTCCCACTGGAACCCATTCCATTAATCTCCAGGGATCAATCTAGGTTTTAGGGGAAATCACCCTTTTTCAGATTTGGGGGAAAATAAAATTTGATATAAGGTTCTCGGGTCATGAAGGTAAAAGATAAATGTTTTGTCCGACATACATGTGTTCGGTCTATTTCAATTTATAAAAAATAATTAAGCTTAAAATCATAGAATTTTTGTTTAAATTATGTATAGAAAATGCATATATGCAGTACATGTATTATGCATTTTAACTGTTGAACTTTAAAGAAAACATATATAGGGGAAATATTTTGAAGAAAAAACGGCTATTCTCTTGTTGAAATATGGGAATTTTGAAGCACAAAGGGGAAATTTTCTTCCGTAGGGAAACTACCCATAAACGTTCGTGAATCAAGTCTAGATTGATCCCTGCTCTCTCACTTGGGAATTTTGAAGCACAAAGGGGGAATTTTCTTCTGTAGGGAAACTACCCATAAACGTTCGTGAATCAAGTCTAGATAGATCCCTGCTCTCTCACTTTCTCTCTTAACTTTCTTTTCCAAGATATCTCTCAAAACAACCTTCGTCTTATTTCGTTAGATTATGTGGAAATTATACCCCAAACAACATTATTGATATGCTTCGAAAAAACTGGGATAGACGCATAGTCCAATCCAAGTAATAGCTTTCTTAATCATGGATGTTCAATTCCTATAGCCAAGAGCAAACAGATTTTTTGTCAATGCTTATGAAAAAGTTAAATATTTACTATGACAAAAAAAAAAAAAAGTAAAATTTGTCAAGACATGCCTGTAGACTGGTCTCTAAACATGAAGTGTATAGCCCTTTTGACATGTTTCAATTTGTTTCTATACTAGAAGTTCAATTTATCTAAGTTTTGTCGTAAACTGAAAGTTATCATATCAATCGTAACTTTTCACAATATAAAAATGAACACAATTATTTTGCTATCCAATGCACTTACTCTCATTATTTTTCTTGATGAATTTTTATAGAATTATGCATTTTCACCCCTAGGTAACTTAACAGACTCTACCATACATTTAAATGGATGAGTCCATTATGGTCTACAGTGGTGAAGGGGTTAAACTTCAGAAAACATTCCCTTATACAGACTAACAAGGTGTTAAATATGCAAACAATAAATATACAAATAAGAACAGAAAGCTTTTACTGAAAGCATATGTAAAAGAGAACTCACTGTCTTTTTTCTCCTCTGTCTTTTCAGCGTCATCTATTTTGACCTTGTTCTTTACATCCTCCTGAGGAAGAGAAAATATCAATGTTTTATATACATTCAGTTTCGACAACACAAATACAACAGGTTTGTAGCAGAGGTCAACTGAAGACTCAACAGTGACCCGACTAACCAGTGTTAAAAATCCAAGATTTCCGGTTCATTTTAATGATCACAAAGTAAAAACACTGACATGAAGGAGTTGTTCCTCGCAAAATATCACGTACAAAAAATAAGATAACTGTATTATGATGTACTACAAAACAATTTATAACCATACATTTTCATTTACTTTTTTCCCCCTTTTCCCAAGGCTCATTTTGTCAAGTGAACAAAAAAGGACAATTTTTGACAACATTTATCTGATGTAATGAAATACATTATTTAAGACAAAGAGAGAACATTGAAATTATCCAAAAAGAAAATATTTACTTCAAAGGCTTAACTCAAGTCTTCTCAAGTTCATTGATCACAGTGCAATCTTTACGTTATGGGGATATGCAGGGTCACTCACTGGCAGAGCTAGTATTTTCAAATTCACATATAGCAATTTATAAAGTTTGGCTCCAAGCAAAGGATTGGAAAAAACACCTTCCAATGATATTACGATAACACAGCATCTCTTCGACATAGTTTTGGTGATTATTTGTGGTAATGCCAATTCATAAAGAAAATTCGTATCGTATACTTATGGTGCAAGATAATGGAGGGATCATTTCCCCCCGATAAATTTTTATTTTAATGGAATTTAGAAATGAATAAACCCCAACCTAATTACTTAGGATTAGAAGATTGCAGTGTTGTCAATACCATTTCAAATTATATAGCTATATAGGTGGGTATTTTAGAAAAAAGAGACAATTCATATAAAAATTCAAAGAACTCTCACAGTACAATATATAACTGATAAAAGCAAAGTACAAAATTGTGAAATATTAAGATCAGGTGCTAGGTTTTATTGACAACATTGGGTTGAAAGTCAGAATGGGACCGATATGGTAAGAATTGCACTGTGCTGTTTTTGACATATATTTCACTCATTACAAGGACCATACAGTCAACACAACATGGCCCAAGTGTAGTGAGGAACTAACAGCTAATTTTACATCATCTTTCTCTTCTTTTTCGTCGTCACTGGGCCAGTCACATTCCTCATCAGTTGGTTCCTTTGCTGCCGTCACAACATCTTTCCTCTGTAAACAGAAAGTACAAAGATTTCGGATATTGTTACCCAACTCTTTTTTTTCAATGAGATTTACTGATTTCTTTGCATTAAAAAAACCCACTTTTACTTGTCTCTTTATATTTTTAAAAACCCTTTTATTTATGAATGAGAAAGCTTCATTTTTGAACATTGAATGACTGATCTTGATAGAAAATTCTCTCCTGAAATATGACAAACTCTCAATCATTTTGACTTTACTTTTTCTTACCTTGTCAAAGAGAGGGGTGTACAATGATGCATATTTGCATTCCAGGTCATGCACCTCCTTGTAGAACTCGGCCTCTATCTTGGCTGCTTCAAACTGCAGCTTTTTCAAGGCTTTGATTCTACGCTTAACAGATTTGGGTAAACTGAAATTTAACAAAATAATCATACTATGGTTACCTGATGACTGTTTCAACCTTGTTCTCTTGTTAAACTCGTTGATAAAGCTCAGGGAGTGAAATAACTTCTTGTGCCATTGCATCACAATGTTTTCATTTTTCTTTCGGAGAAACGAAATATCTTACTTGTGATAATCATTTCAGAAGTTAATTCTGAAGTATAACCTACGCAATTTCTCAAACAAATTATGTTTTCTAAAACTTCACCTTTGACAAAACCAAACCAACTAAGTTTCCAATCTCATATTTATCAATTTAATGTCAAAACAGAAGTCCTGACTACTGTGCCACAACTTCTATCCTTGATTCTCAAAGAAACAAGGTCACCGTGGTTAGGACCAATTAAAGTCACTGTGATTAGGACCATTTAAAGTCACCGTGATTAGGACCAATTAAAGTCACTGTGATAAGGACCAATTAAAGTCACCGTGATTAGGACCAATTAAAGTCAATGTGATAAGGACCAAGTAAAGTCACTGTGATAGGACCAATTAAAGTCAACGTGATTAGGACCAATTAAAGTCACTGTGATAAGGACCAATTAAAGTCATCGTGACTAGGACCAATTAAAGTCACTGTGATAAGGACCAATTAAAGTCACCGTGATAAGGACCAATTAAAGTCACCGTGACTAGGACGTACTATAACAAGAATGACTTGTCTGTCCCTGCCTTGACAGTTACAGCGATTGATCTAAGAATCAGTCCAAAACTCTAAACTTAGGGCCGTTCCACAACTAACCGTATGGTCGGGTTGGAGGCAATTTTTCAGATACCTCATTACCCTAAAACTCTTAAGAGAGATTCAATACAAGAGGCCCAGAGGGCCTGTATAGTTCACCTGGATATCTAAGCAATCATGGCAAAATGTTCTCCATACAAGATCCCAGGGAAAGGGCCAGACCCCAAGGCCAATCCTTGTAGCATATCTGTATAAGATTTTTCATGCTCAGCAATTTTATGTATGGTTATCGGGTTGATAACTCAACTGTTTCCAGATCCCAGGGTCAATTCTGATACCATGACTGCATTCGTCTCTTTATGCCCAGCATTTGTATTTCTAGTTTTTGGGTGGGGATATCAACGGTTTCAAAGTTTTGACCCAGGGGTAAACTTAAGTCTGCAAGGGTGGGGCAGACCTAGGGGTCAATATTCTAATATCATGACTGGTTCTTCTCTATATGCCTAGCAACTGTATATATAGTTTTGGGGTTTGGATCTAAACCAATTCTAAATTATGACCCAGGGGTTAACTTAAGTCTGCAAGAGTGGGGCAGACCCAGGGGTCAATATTCTAATATCATGACTTCTCTTTATGCCTAGCAATTGTATATATAGTTTTGGGGTTGGAATCTAAACCGTTTCAAAGTTATGACCCAGTGGTAAAGTCTCAAAGGGTGGGGCAGACCAAGGAGCCATCCTGGAAGCATAAGTGCATTCATTTCTTTATACTCAGTAATTGTACATTTGGTTATACGGTTGGGATCTCAACTGTCTCCAAGTTAGTAACTAATTTTGGCCCCATCCCTTAGGCCGGAGGGTCAGTCTGTCCATTTGTCGATTTTGAATCTCAACCACATAGGGATGCTACCAGTCGAATATGGTTGATATCCATTGCTTAGTTCCAGAAAAGTAGCGTAAACCAATACAGCCAAATAACCCTTTTGGTACCGCCCCTCAGCCCCAACATTTGTAAAATTTGTAATTCTCACCTCCCATGAATGCTTCCAATCAAATATGATTGATATCCATTGCATAGTTCTCGAGAAAAAGTCCGTTTTTAGCAATATAGACGAATTGCCCACTTTTGGCCCCGCCCCTCAGTCCCCTGGGGGGGTCGGCCCAACCATTTGTACAATTTTGAATCCCCACCACCTAGGGATGCTTCCAGTCAAATATGGTTGATATTCATGACCTAGTTCTACAGAAGAAGTCGTTTGTAGCAATATAGCCAAATTGCCCCCTTTTTGCCCCGCCCCTCAGCCCCCTGGAGGGTCAGCCATATCATTTGCACAATTTTGAATCCCCACCACCTAGGGATGCTTCCAGTCAAATATAGTTGATAACCACTTCTTAGTTCCAGAGAAGAAGTCGCTTAAAGCAATATAGCCAAATTGACCCCTTTTTGCCCTGCCTCTCAGCCCCCTGGGGGGTCAGCTCCATCATTTGTACAATTTTGAATCCCTGACACCTAGGGATGCTTCAATTAAATATGGTTGACATCGACTTCTTAATTCCAGAGAAGAAGTCGCTTAAAGCAATATAGCCAAANTTAACCCCACCCCCATTTATATGTTAATAGGTGCCTCTCACCTCTCCCATTCAACAAATTCTGAAATAGCCCTTACTGTATCTTCATGATGCATAGGATGGAATGAAAAGGCCAAGAAGCAAATATGGTCCAAATTTGATTGGTCTAATGACTTTTAAATAAACAGAGCTAATATTGTAAAAAAATATACACAGCTGCCCCCATTGGAAATGTCCTGCATGCCAACTTTGCAACCTCCAATGCAGGCAACACAAATACTGATGATTCTGCTTCCCCATTTAAGTGGAAGCACACCTAGATTGCTTTTTAAAGCAAAAAATTATATCTATCCCCTAATTTATTTTTTTTGGCTTAATTTAGTGAATTTTAGTGAAATGCAAATAACGGTGTCAGTATTTTTTGACATATTACCTTTGTATGTAGCCTGATGGTGCACCTTGAAGATAATCCAGTCTTTCCTGTACAGCAGCCAGAACCTGTGGACTCTTCAGTAGACCTACCAGTCCAGGAGGCGAGACATTTTGGATCTCTATAACAGTGATGAGAATTTGAAAACATTGACATTTATGATCTGCATCGGCACAATTTTATCTTCCTAACAATATGCTTTTGTTACAACTTTGCAACTAGAATCCCTTGATCAGTTAATTTTGATCTTTATTCATTTTGATCAAGAACAAATTAACTGCATAAATCAGGACTCGGGTTCAAATTTTGAAAACCACTACAGGGCTCGACAATAAGGGAAAGCCCACTAGTCCGAGACTAGTAAAATCTCCAGCTAGACTAGTGGTTCTAAGAACTACTAGCCTGACCGAAAAAGTAGTTTTTAAAATCAGTTTCTAGCCCTGCTTGACTAGGGAGAGTGACTTCTTTCAGAAAAACAAAAACCTCTTGGCACAAGGGAAATTTTATTGTACAACCATGAACGTTATACAAAATTACATGTCTAATATATCCCAATCTTTCTACTTTATTATAATTACGATATTTTCAAGATGATGTGGTGCTCTTGGTGTTGCTAGAACATTTATGAAATGTTACTTTTTCTGAGTATTTGATCATAGAAGAAATCGAAAACTGGCACAACAGGAAGCCATTTGCTTTTCATATAAGGGTATTAAACCGCTTGGAAATATCAAAACTAGGCTAACAATACAGATTGCAAGAGCATTCTCTCATAATCAAAACTTTAATTTCAGTAGTACAAAAATAGATGCACCTGAATAGATATTAATACTAGTAATATACTACCTTCTTTTGTAGAACAGAAGTTTTCTCATTCCACCAAACTTTGAGAGAATATTTTAGCAAAGGCATTCTCACACAACCTTTAAATACATTTCCTCTAGTTTTTCTTACCCTCACATTCTTCTTCTTCAACATCCTCAACCTCATCAGCCTCCTCTACAACCTCAGCTGTTTTTCTGTCAAAACAAAATTACAAAAATCTTTCCAGAAATCATATCATTTGAACTCAATGCTACAAGATTGAGATGCTCAAATTTTGACTTTTCTATTTTATTTACATACTTCTTCAGCTCAAATCATTGAATTTAACACAGGAGACTGATTGACTCGGCCTTTTTTGTGTATGAGTAAGTCAAATATCAAAAAGGCAAAATGTTGTTGTTTTCAAATCCAAACTTACCCTTCTGGATCAGCCATGATGTTGTTTTAAGTTTACCTGGAAAGAGATAAAAACAATTTCAGTTCAAAATATTTTCTTTTGGGGTATGATCAGCTTTAATACCTCACTTAATAATGACTCTATGTTACAGCAGTACCTACCATCTCACACCATTTTGCATAGGCAGGAGAAAACAGTTACTCTGAAAACCCATGCTAATACTTCTGGGATATTTAAACCCTTATAATCTTCTCAAGAACTTCCATATAGACCAATAGGCCAAAAAGATATGCGTGTTTCAGGTAACATGCCTGAAATTCGGAACTGGGTTGTTTCGCCCTAAATCTCGATCACGCTACGGGTTGTTTCACCCTTACATAGTTGTATATTTTAAAGTTGTGAATATCGATTGAAATGTTTTTAATTCCTCAAAAAGCTTTTTTCATGTTTCACCACAGAATTAAATGTAAGTCGACAGTTTTCACGAGCAAATGTTTTGTCGAAAGAATTCCTTGCTACATCGTGTGTGCAGATCTGGTCGACCATGTACAAATCTAACATATCTTATAACAACAAAAAAGCTAAGGGAGATATAGAAAAACTTCAAACTAGACCATATCAGCCCCACTAAACTAAACAGGACCGATACAATTCACCCTTAGATATTTATATGGCGAAACAACTTTGTACCAAATGACCCTGGGCGAACAGGATTTAGGGAGAAATGTGCCTTAGTGCGAACAGGATTTAGGGTGAAACAACATGGATCCTATCTACAAAACAGCCAGCACCAAAATTCCTTATATAAGAAGACTATGAAATTTATCATTCCCATACAATAAATCAACAATGCAACTGGTCATAAAAGTCAAAACACCATGGCTCGCCCATCCTTGTCTTCCCTACAACAAAACACATACGTGTACCTTAGCTTTGTCCCACCACAACCTCCTACCCCATTTTTACTGACGCTGATTGCACAATCAATCATTCTAAATCTCCAATAAAGAGATAAATGATGTCCCCAGGTGAAAATGATTTTTTTGTTATTGGAACTGGATATCACTTCTCCTAAGCATTATATGCGATACCTTAAATTTGGGATCATTTAACGATTTGTTTACAAGCTGGCAAAATGCGGCATGAGGGGCTGTGGAAACTGAATTTACAGTGTTAGTGTCGTGTGTCGACCAAATGTGTTCGATATGGCAGCATCAATCAATTGGCGATTACAGGCACATTATCAATATCTCAATTAGAGTTGTATTGGTCCCCAATAGTAGGCCCAACGTTAATCTCGTTCATACATATACATTCTGCTTGAACCGAATCACTATCATCGCCGGCCCATCATCGCCGCATTCTTTTCTCCCACCATCCATCATTCACGACACCATTGCTATGTGTACTGCGATCTCCGGCAAAACAATGAAAACATGGGTCATTCGTCACATGACCACGAGAAACATACAAAATAAACAGTTTTTAAAACCTAAATGAAAGACTGCTTTAAGACAAACAAGACAGTATTTGTGATAATCAGAAAAAATCAGTCTCACCCTTTTAGTGTGCTGAACACGAGGGAAATATGGTGGAAGAGACCGATCCGTTATCTAGGCAGTGATTGGCGCACATATTTAGTTGCAGTATCACACCAACCAATGAAAACAATTGTCACAACGCTGTGTCGTCAGTTGGCGGGTAATCGTCCATGCGTATTTTACTTTGCATATTTTCTATAGTTCTAATACGCTAACAATATGAAAATTATTTTAACACTAAGAAGATAGATTGACCATTTTTTCAATTATAGTTTGAGGTACTTGGTATGTTTTCTTCTTTAAAGTGTTAAAGATCTGTACTTCGAATAGTACGTCACAAGTTGTATTATAAAAATCAGAGACTTAATTAGCGGCTGAGTCAAGAGTAAGTCAAAACACGGACGTAGTCACTTAAATTAGTTATCTGTTATAACTCCATGGTCAAAATAAATATAAAAATATCGTTTTAAGAAGTTTCCGGTATGGGAAAGATAGAAAAAAATAACTGTATTTTTTACACATTTTATGCTAATTTTAAGCCCAACAATATTTTATACGTCTCTGAATCATTAGGGCAATTTTTATTACTTATTTTTCCCAAGAAGGTATCAATGGTGAATCCAAGAATATTAAGGGGAAGAGGTTTTTTTACATCTCCCTAATTATTTTATTATACACATGTCAACTAAAGCCGCTCAATAATACCAACATTCTGTTCATATAAATACGTTTAAAAACACCAATTAGAAAAATCATTTTGTAAACTAGACTGTAATTTAGATACCAAAACACAACGTATGTGTTAAATTATATGGTACTGTAAATATATGATATGCATCATGATAGTTCTTCAATATATAATTTAAACGTCGAAAAAAAACGCGTGCTCAATCCATTTGCACTTTTGTATGGCAATACAATATGTTAAAACTAACTCACTTTCAACAAACTATACGCGGCGGTATGATTCACAAAATGTGTGTTTAAATGTTGCCGAGCGGAGCGAGGTAGAAATCATTTGCTCAGACTGAAACAGTGAAAAGGAAACTATTTTATGAAAATTGATATTTCTGAAGTTTGTTCAGAAACCTTACACAGAGCGGATAGAGGCAACTAAAACATATAGTGTCTAAGAAAACACCATATAAATTAACACCTACGATCGATGTGTTTCGGTATTTAAACTACAGATTGATGATTTAAACATATTTATTGCCCAAAATTTGAGCAGAGGATTAGGCACAAGTTATATCAACTTATCAACGCATTTTCCTCTAATACAGTACATATTGATATTTACATGATAGCATTTAACAAGGCATACAAACTATATTTTACAATTATTATATTTTACTTAAAATATGTTGCTGGATTTGATGAAAAGTTGCACGTGTCTGAATACTTCTGTATTGGTATCTACGGACAGATTTTCATTCCCAAATAAAAATAAAAATAAATTTACTGGATATATATCCAACGAGTTTATGTTTCGAAATAGCGTGATTCGTGCTGTATTAAAAAGTTTACATTCTAAGAAAAAGAAAAAAAGCGAATTTTAAGCCTTTTTCTCCTCTCTGATAATGTTTCTAAACCCGTTTCAAAATATAGTGAATCATTACTTGAAATTTACTCCTAAATTCCATGTACGTCAGTAAAATTTAAATGTTCCCCATCAAACATCAAATCCAAGTCATCGTCAATATCGTTTGCATTTGAAATAAAAAGAACGTCCGTTTTTTTGAGGATTAAAAGAAACCAACCGACGTTAAGCGCACTAATTTAAAGATCTAGGTCCTTGTTGAGAACAGTCTGTATTTCATAGCATGAAAAAGCAGAATAAAGTAAGGATGTATCATCTGCAAATAACCTGGAGGCCGAATCAAGTACATCAGTAATATCATTTATATATATATCAAGAAGAGAAGCGGCCCTAGTATTGACCCTTGAGGTACACCTGCGTCAATATTACATAGTTCCGAAAATGAATTTCCAATTAAAACTTTCTGTTTGCGCCGGTATATATAATTTTCGAGCCAATGCAACAATTCCCCTGAAATTCCGTACGCTTTTAACTTTGCTATCAAGCCCCTGTGCCAAACACGATCAAACGCTTTTCATATATCACACAAAATAATGCAGGTATGTTTTCTTTCTTCTAAAGCAATACAAATATTATGGTATTTCAATAAGTTGATAAACAGAAGAATGACAAGGCATACAACCTGACTGGTATCGATAAAACAAGCTATTTTCAAAAAAAAAAATATACAAGTGTTTGCAAACACTTTACCAACTGTAGATAGTAGGGATATAGGCCTATAGTTACACGGCGTACGACGATCACCCTTTTTGAAAAGCGGCATAACAGTTGCAAGTTTCCATTTATTTGGATATACACACGAAGAAAGTGACATGTTAAAAAGTATTTCAAGTGGTTTGCAGATAGAGTAAGGAGTATACTTCAGCACATGATGACTAATCCCATCCCATCCCGAAGCTTTCCCTAGCTTTAAAACATCTTTTATTTCTGAATGATTAAACCGCAAAGATACAAAACGTTTATCTGTTTTGGATTCAATCATCGGAATTTGAATATTAACATCATTAACACGGGTTATACTACAAAAATAATTATTAAGTAAACGGGCTTTATCGTCATCGTTTGAGAAAGTACTATTTGTCGCTGGGTCCGTCATTGAAGGAATGTTTTGATAATGTCCTCCGGATTTCATAAGTCCTTTTACTAGTTTCCAATAAGATTTTGGATCAGAAGAAGCGTAATCGTCAATAAGTCCATGTACATTTTCGTAAAAAAGGAGTCGGGCTTTTTTTCTCTCATATTATTTACCTTGTTTCGCTGAGCTTTAAATTTGTCAATGTCTGAAAGTTGGAGTGTTGCCCTGGCAATTTTATGCAGTCGATCACGGATTCTCAAATGTTTTCTAAGTTCAGATGTACCAATTATTAGATTTGATCTGGGCAAAGTAATTTGTATCCATATGACTTCAACACCAGGGTATTCTATAGCTTGTAAGCGACATACTTTCAGTAAATTATTAACATAGACTAATAAACCATCCCCGCAAAGTTTCTGTCTTGTCGAAAGGGTTCATGAAAACCGGCTATATGTAGTTCGTAAGGAGATACTTTGTCGTCCAAGTGTGTCTCAGTCTACAGTCTACTTACAAATTGACCTTAAAACGTTAAGATTAAGTGAGCGGCGTTATTTTAGGGATGTGTAAAATATGCGCCCCTGATCCTTCTCCTCTTAACAATGGTCTGGGCAGAGACGTATATAACACTTTATACGTCTCTGGTCTGGGGTGGATGTTGTGGTATCTGCTGTTACATTAAGTGAGGTGGCACTATAAATGATACCGTTGGAAGCACGGTCCCACTACAAACAGAACACAATATATCTCCAGAACACACGTACGCAGGCTTACACATATAGGGAGATATTAGCCAGATGGCATATGGACTAGTGGTTAGCGCCTGATAAAGCAGCTCCTGCGGATTTCAAATTGTATATTGATTAATGTATATGCTAATTCTATTGATTGTATAAATTGTATTTCTATGTACTGTAAAGCGCTTTAGAGTGGCTAATTCTAGCTAGATATGGCGCTGTATCAAATGTTGTCTATTTATATTCATTTATTTATTTCATAGTGTGTTTTCAAATATTATTAAACTTTAATTTAAAACAGATAACTACATTTTCACTTTGAAACCGTTAGAGTGAAAATAAATTCGACAACATCATATACTTTTAAATCGGCTCATGCCATAGACAATACTGGTACGAAAACTATTTGCAAGCGATGGATTTCGTTATACACTTGTATTTATTTCATGTTATTAATTTCCGAAAACAAAAATTAATTAAAATCGGATTAATTGTGTATGATGATTTGTTTTTGATTTTAAGATGATGTAGTGCATAATTACTCTGTACGTGTATACGTGTATTGGATATATATTGATTTAGATAGATTATAGCAGAGACGTATATATTACGTATATGTAATATATACATCGCTGATCATAGTTTTATCGGGTTTGAAAACGTTCTTCAGAAATGTTTCAACAACATCATGTATTTTTAATTCGTTTCTTTACGGACTAATATCCTGATCTAATTTCATAGTTTCACATGCCTCTGAAAGAGTAGGGAATTGAACACGACATAACCTGATATAGACGAAAATATCAAAATCCGCTGAACATGTGTCCACCGTTAACACGCTATTGATGATATAACAATGGATTCCAGTATATCCTATATATATCATTGAGGTAAAACAATATCTAGAAAAAGAAAATACGGAATCTCTCTCTCTCTCTCTCTCTCTCTCTCTCTCTCTCTCTCTCTCTCTCTCTCTCTCTCTCTCATACTTTCGATGTTTAAATTAAAGCATTGAATAATGAAATAGTGTATATATGTATATTATTAATTAAGTCTGCCATCTTGTCATATATGCTTGTAATTTGCTGGGAAAGGGCTAAATATAAGTTTAATAACTTGTGCCCAATCTAATTGCTTGGCAGTAAAATATGTTTTAACTTAACTAAGTAGAAGACAGGGAAAACAACAATAGTATGCTTTTAAAACCCCGTATAACTTCACAAAGAGGTAAGTCGTACATAGGTTTGTTTCCACCATAACGTGACCGACATTAAAATCAGAAATGATATTTTCCATCTCGGTAAATGTAAATGCCTATATTGATCTTACAGTGTAATATCCATAATTAGAAAAAAAGCATATCTTGGATATGTGCCGTGCCTTCATTAATTTTTACAGGCCCCCAATGTTGATACTTAGAACTTATGTAATAAGATATTGGGGTTTCACCGACTTTTAATGCATTTTTGATATACAGCACAAGCTGGTACCGACTTTAGGTTGTTTAACTTGATATATAGTTCATTAGCAACAAAACTTAAAACAGTTTCTCAAAAAGTGGTACTGACATGCGCTGTTACCGAAAATTGAAAAACGAAATGAAGACCATATATTTTATCATGTTATTGCAATCCATTTTGTCGCAATACGTAGCTGAGACAGTTAACGGTCTTG